TAAAAGCTCTCCCATATCATCTCTTTCTAATCGACTTCACCTCATCTCATGTCCCGCCTCTCACCTCTAGCGAGTACAGTATGGAAGGCGTTATCTTCGTGGAGTACATGAGGAATTGAGACGTCTGCTCTGCAGATGCGTCCTTGGGCCATGAAACAAGGATTGAGAGGTTAGCAGTGAGGAGGTAATAGAGGAGAGTGACAAACCAGGAGTGAAAAATGGCAGTAAACCGTGCATTCCAATGTTTGAGATACATGGGACACGTTTAGCGCAAAGAAAAACGCAATGCTTCCTTGAGCAAATTAGTAGTTTATATATATGCAGAGTAGGTAGATAGGTAGAATGATGAGTTGATGACAGGAAGTTGCATCGAGAATGGATAGAATCAGGATTAGGCAGAGAGAGCAAAGAAGATGGAGAGAGAAGTGGAGATGTGGTCGTTTGGAAAGACGAAGCGCTCATGAGGAGAATGCTAGAAGAACCAAACTGACTGGACTAATAAAGAAAGACAGGGAGAACGTGTCAGTGAAGTACATTGCACTCAAGGATGTCATCGACGGGTAGCTGTGTGAAAGAAGGAATGAATGCTTCTATCTAATCAGGTAGAAGAGGTGAATGCCGAAACTATTACTAAGTTACTCGAATCACCAAACTTAGTGAAAAGCTCTATTACGTACTTATCACTCTGTTATTGTTTTAAACAGGCTTGAGTGCTGCACTTATTGACTCCTTGGGCCTGAATGACCTGAAAAGAATGCGAATAGTTAATATATGGAAGAAAAAGTCTATTCACTGGAAATATCTAAGTTCTCCATCAAACTCTTTTGTACCAATTTTCAATTTCCATAATTTTTTAATTCTTAGCTTTCTAGTGTCGAATCCTGCAATTTCCTAGAAGTCTTAATTTAAATGAATATATTTGAGAGTTGTAGGTAGTAGGACTTTTGTTCAGTTTCTCTTCTTTGGCCAACATGAAGGTAAGCTCTGCCATTTTGATTCAATCACCAGTCGGTTAGTCAGTCGGCCTCTGGCTACTGGGACTGTCCACGTGCGCCGTATCCAGACTTGCTCATTCGCACACGTCGGCAATGTGGTCGCCTTCATTCACAAACCGACGCAGAGCTGGGAGCAGACTATAGACAACGAGAAGTGTATTTTGGGTAGTGTTACATGCATGGTGGGAATGGCAGAGATTAGGGGTGCGGATGTATGAAGACGTGTCAAGTTAAAAAGGGGAAATGGCTTGATCAGAAAAATTAGACAAAATGGAACGAAATCGCAAACAGCGGTAGGCATCTAGTGAATGCGGTGAA